TTTCTTTTTCCTTCCTCTCCAATGAAAGTCTTTTCCTTAATGATTTGTTTGTAATTAAGGAGGAAGTATAGCAAGTAAATTAATTCACGGTAAGAAATGCATGGTGAATTATCTTCCCTAGTATTACATTTTAAAAGAAGAAACTTTTTTTATCCTCATACAGAGTAGGAATATTCGTATTTTCAACCTTCCTAGGAAACACTCTGGCAATCTATCAAGAGTCATAAAAAATGTTCTTATTATTTTTCCAGTAGTTTCATTTTTAGAATTCAAGTCTAAGAAAAATAATCAGAAATAAACACTTCTATACAGAGATATTGATCAGAAAGATATGTTTAATAGCCAAAAAAGTGAATTATATAATAAATGATAAATATAGTGACAATATAATGAGTTAGAAATGCAGAAAAAAGGAAGGAAAAGGATAACTAAGCATTCACTGCCCATTTCAGATGTTTGTGGGTACGCTGAGTCCTCCAAGCCTTGGGCTACAATGTAAACAGCGTGGAGTCAGGCAGGTTTCATGTCTGCCTGACAGTTAAAGACTTTTCACGGATTTAAAACTGGGGAAAACCAATTAAATAAATATTCATGTAAATTGGGCTGCCCCGGTGGCCCAAACAGTAAAGAATCTGCCATGCAGGAGACCCAGGTTCGATCCCTGGGTCAGGAAGATCCCTTGGAGAAGGAAATGGCAACCCACTTCAGTGTTCTTGTGTAGAGAGTCCAATGAACAGAGGAACCTGGCGGGCTGGAGTCCATGGGGTTACTAAGAGTTGGACACAACTGAGCGACTACACTTTTCACTTTTCATAAATTATAAAGGCATTTTTCTGTTTAAACCTTCCAAAATACCCAGTTTATTGTAAACAGGGTTGAGTACAAAGCATGGTAGGTGGAGAGTATGGGCTTCTTTGATCACATACTCATTCTTTATCAGCTGTGTGACCTTGGGCAAGTTATTTAAACTCTCTGTACTCCAGTATTCTTGCCTGGAGAGGCCATGTGGACAGAGGAGCCTGGCAGGCTCCAGTCCATGGGGTCACACAGAGTGGGACTGGACTGAGCGACTAAGCACATACTTCAGTTTACATACCTTAAAATGTGATAATTACAGTTACCTTATCAAGTTATCTTTGAGATTCAAGATCACAATTCATATAAAATGACTCATATCTCAAATAACAAGACGTGTAATCAGATTTTACTTTTTATTATTGATTTCAATGAGAAAGATAATTATCAACAGATCACAATTTTAATTATCCTATTTTAAGAGAACCTTTAAGGTTCTCTGATTTTTCAGAGAATTAAGTTATATATTGTTAGGGCTAAAACAAATCTCAGCTTATTGGAAAGCATTTTAGAGTGGGCATTGTGGCTCTTCATCTTCAGGAGATCCTTTTTAGGTTAGAACAAGTTCAGAATAGCTCTGACTTTGACAGACTGAAATTTGTAATGTCAGTCTGTCTTTTTCTTCCCAATTTTAGTATAAAACACAATCAATTAAAAAAAGAATCAATAAAATGTAGTACTAGAAAATAATCCATTTTGAAAAAAAGTGGTGAATTCAATAAAACACAATCAATTAAAAAAAGAATCAATAAAATGTAGTACTAGAAAATAATCCATTTTGAAAAAAAGTGGTGTATTCATAAAGCGAACTATTTATTAGAATTCTTATTTAAATTTCTATTTGTAGAGTGAGAAAAATTACACAAGAAAAATGCATAATATGAGATTGGAGCTGCCTGCTGGCTCATAAAATACTAATTTGTATCTTAAAAAATATATATCTTAAAATCATATATGTATGGTGTGTGTGTGTATATATATATATATGCACATATACATATATACATATATATATATATATCAGGCAACTGAGAAGAATTAGAGATAGTAGTAGTTGAATTTTATGGTTTATGCTTAGGAAAATTCCTGTATATCTTAACATGAAATACACATATCTAACGGAAACTAACATTGGAAACTGTTTATTAGAATGTTATATACTTTAATTGGCCAAGTCTCATATCTTGAATATCTTCATAAAGCCCACTTCTTATGACTCCAGGGAATTGAACTTTGTTCTGTATTACCAATAATTACAAATAAATACGAGCATATTTCTACGATTTTCTTGTCTGCAGGATCGTGATAGTTTTTCATCTTTACTTTTATATTTTTCCTCTTCTAGATATTACTATGTTATCTTAAGACCCAGAAGACAGTGAAAACATCTTTCATTGGCCAAAGACCTATGTGTTGTGTTGTAGGTGACCGTTCTAGGTGTCAAAAGTTGCCCTGAGTGGACTTCTGGAGCTGTTTCTACTTCTAGTGAATTTATCCTCATTCTGTGATAATATTAGGATCATTTAAACTAGTCAAAATTCTAACAAACTGTGGATGACTAATAAATGCCTTTGGTTAGAGTTTCTAGACATTTTTAGTTTATTTAGATACAGTCTGAATTTTTCAGTGCTGGTAATCTGTCTCTGCGTCCTGACTAAGCTTCTCCATGTGTCCAACTGAAGTTGATGAAGTAAGATTTTATTGAAGCCTTGGTCTTATAGTTCAAGTAGCTTTTTTCTTAATATTCTGTGGAGCCAACTTTAGAGATATCATAAGACCTGGGCTTCTTTAGAGATATTGTAAGAACTTGCTGCTACTGCTGTTAAATCGCTTCAGTCGTGTCCGACTCTGTGCGACCCCACCGACGGCAGCCCACCAGGCTCCGCCGTCCCTGGGATTCTCCAGGCAAGAACACTGGAGTGGGTTGCCATTTCCTTCTCCAATGCATGAAAGTGAAAAGTGAAAGGAAAGTCACTCAGTCGTGCCCAACTCTTAGCGACCCCATGGACTGCAGCCCACCAGGCTCCGCCATCCATGGGATTTTCCAGGCAAGAGTACCAAAGTGGGGTGCCATTGACTTCTTCGGTAAGAACTTGGGGTGGTAGTAAAAGAATCTGCCTGCAATTTAGGAGACGCAAGAGACGCAGGTTCTATCCCTGATTCAGGAAGATCCCCTGGAGGAGGAAATGGCAAGAATACTCCAGTGTTCTTGCCTGGAGAATCCCATGCACAAAGGAGCCTGGTGGGCTACAGCTCGTGGGGTTGCAAAGAGTTGTACATGATGGAGCAGCTAAGCATGTGTGAAGACCTTGGTCTTTCAGTTATCTAGGAATTTGTTCCCATGTCATGGAAGTAAAGAAAATAGGATTTCTAAATGTGACCTGCTGATAATTACTACCTTGCTGTCCAGTTTTTTAGTCAAATTAAACTTCTTTTTATTGTCTTAATCTGCAAACTGTTATAGTGGGACTACATAGGTGATGTCTTGGATTCTCTTTAGCTATAATGTTTCCTGTGGATCTGTGTTGATTCTGGGACGATAACAGTCAAAGCAGATGATGATCTATTAGTAATCTCTTTTATTGCTATTTCTGTTTGCCTTTTTAATTTTGTTTCCCTTTGTTGGAGTGATTATTTCTCTGGTCAATACTTAAAAAAGGAAGATAATCAATCATTGTCATATTTGGCAATAAAATAAGATGACACGCTGTCCTACCACGTTTGCCAACAGACCTTTTCATTCCTCAAGAATTTTATTTATTGAACACTTAACTATATAGCACACTGGTGCCAGGCACTGGGAACAGTAGTAAAAATATAAGTCCTGCCCTCCAGGAAGTTTCAGTGTAGTGTTTTTTGGCTTGTTGACAATCTAATATCCTTTTCTCTGATAATATTCCTGTATGCTCTGGCATATTCTTGTGTCTTTTTCTTTTTTTAGGGGTATTAGCCTGAGAGAAGTCAACTTTATATCCTTGCTTGGCCATTATAGTAAATTTCAATGTTCTTTTAGGGTCAGGAAAGTATTTATCGATGATCTTGTAAAAATGACATATGCATCTTTTAGGATGTAATGTATTTTTGAATGATGAGAAATTAATTTTTCCATTGGTCACTACATTGTAGGACAGTCATAAATGAATGAAGCACAGCTTGAGCCCAACACCTTTCAAGAAACCTTGAAGTTAAAGAAGAACCTTTAAATCTACTGCGAATGGTTTTTGGAATAATTTAAGAGCCAGTATGGGTGTTTGTATCCTTGAGGACTCTTTGAATGGCAACTTTATATACTAGATTATATTTAACTTTCCCTTACTCAGCTGTTTGTCAGAGACGTCACATTGTTTTATTCCTGAATTAAGAAGTCCAAAGTCTCACTGTGCTCTGGTTTTACATGCCTTTGCCTCTGTAAGACATTGGAGGAGAAGGTGTCATTTCGAAAATACTGTTTCTCGAACCACCTCAGTTCACTAGTGCCAGAAAGCTGGCACTTTTGTGGCGTTATAGTTATAAATATATTTCAGTGTTTTTCACTAGGTAAAATATCTGTTGTAGAGGAGACAAAGAACTTATAAATTCACTTCGTTATGTCCGAAAGATAATCCAAGAGGCGTGTTTACACAGGCATCTCTCTATCTGCTTCTTTTTACGTGGGGGAAAAAAGGTGTTGTAAAGGACAACTAACTTGATTTTACTTAAAATGTAGTTCATCAGTTCATCATTAGCTCGGTATTAGTTTTTCTATTCATGTACATAAACTTAGTCTGCTCGAAGAAACTCAATGTTTATTAGAAGTAGTTTCATTTCACTGTGAGTATATTTTAAATACTCATACTGATGTCCTTATGTTAATCTTGAATGTTATCACAGCAGTGAGTTTTAAAGACCATTAATGTAGTATTATCTGTACTTTTTTGGGGTAAAATGATTGTCATAATCAGATCATTATTTTGGTAGTCCACCATCATTGCTGAGAGATCCTGTTATGTGAAATAAGAAAGATAATGATAATGATTTTAATGATCAAGGTATAACACAGGCATCATAGGATACGTGTGATGCTCTCTCTCTACTTTTATAGCTCTTGATCTTGTTCCTCGTTCGACATCATTACTAACTTCTACCTTTTATCTTATTTAACACAGGGCTGTGAAATTATTTCAACTCCTGATCAAGACCATACTGACTTTACCAAGTGCCTTGAAGTGCTCCAAAAGAAGATAGAAGAAAAAGATCTACAGGTAAGATCTATGCCTATTTGGTAGTTATGAATCTTAAACCAAGAATGTGAAAAATACTGGTTTTACTCACCTGAAATGATTATTTGCTTTTGTGCTGATTATTTGGTTTCCCTTGTCAGGTTTCTTCAGTATATGAATAAACCTGTACTTAGTTGCCAAAACATTAACGTGTACATTCGAATCAGAGGTCACAGATTTAGAACCTTCCAGTGAGTGGTGAGGTCCCAAAATGGGTGAAGTGGACCTTGTCTATAGCAATCAAAACTGACAGCTCATTCTGAGCCTAAAGGAAGTAGCTGCTCTCCATCCCAAGTTGGTTGTTACCCTGCAGAGCTGTATATGTATGTATGTGTGTTTATATAGTATGTAGGCAAGACCAACAAATATGGCCTGAATTTGGCCATCCTTGAAAATTCTTATTTAAACAAATAAAATATTGTTGACCTTTTTTAAAAAATGAGAGAAGTGTCTGTTACTTTGCATGCATGGGCTCGTTAAGGTATTCAGTAGTGATTTTCACCTAGTATCCAAGTGTTTAATGATATAATTATATCGTTTAGCTAATGCACACATTTGTATTTTTTAATATTTTACAGTATTTTGACAGTTGTTGAAATGATAACGCAAACTTTTTATAGCCTTTATTCAGTGAAGATCCACAAAATTAAACCTGAAGTGTTGAAGGACAATTGACTTATTTTCCTGGGAAGGAAGGGAGATAAACTGAAATGCGTGATTCAGTGTGTTGTTTTATTTATTTATTTGCGTCTGTGGGGTCTTAGTTCCTGGACTAGGGATCAGACCCATGCCCCTTGCGGTGGATGTACACAGTCTTACCACTGGACTGCCAGAGAAGCCCCCAACATGTCATTTTAAAGGAAGAATACAAGGACAACATCTCTGTACATTGGGATGGTTTTCAAAGTACAACAGGATAGTGTTTCAGCCTTTCCTCAATAACCGAGTGGGAAAGGACCAATTCAGGCCCAGCGCAGGCAGCTTTCACATCTGCGCCCTTCATGTCTTGGCTCTGGGTCGCCTTTGCTTTCAGCCTGTTCTCCCTGACTCTCTGCAGTGGCTGCTTGCAGCAGTTTCTTCACGCCTTCACATCTAGAGGCATTGCGGGGTAGGGCTGTCACTTACCACCGTCCTCAGACCTCAGTCCTGAAATCTCTCCAGGAATCTATACTTGGTTTCAACGCAGGATGATGAAAGTTACCTGATTGTCTGGGACCAGAGTAGAGAGTGGGGTCAATCCCCGAGTCTCATACAGTCTAACTCCACAGCTGGTACACAGTGGCAGGACAGCCTAGATGGTGGACAGGCACCCTGATAAAAACTTGCTCCTTCGCAGAAGTTCTGGGAGGTTTATTCTAAGGTATGTTTACTAAGCTGAAGGAGTTGATCCTTTGGTCCCTTTGAAGGGGAAAGCCTTTTGTAACCATCATTAGTTGACAAGTAGCTCACTCTACATTCTCACCACAAGTAATTGAGTGAACATTTCTCATCTCTGTGGTGGCTCGAGCTGTACCAAATGTGCCACTTGGAGCAGTCAATTGCTGTAATTATCTGTTTGTTTAAGGAAAAGGGGAAACAACCGACTGAGAGTTATCAGCTTCATCGAGACATAGATGATGTGGAATTTCTTAGAAGAAAGTTCTAAATCTTCACAATAGTTTCGGTTTTCCTAGTGCTCCCACTGGAAGCTGGGAAGGCAGTGATGTGAATGTCGTTTGTTGTGTCTAACTGATAGTATCTGTATACAGTGTTCAGTCACTGAATCACAAAACAAACCATCCTGTCTCAAACTCAACAAAGTCTAGAGAGAGCCTCAGGCTGGGAGGCAAGAGTAGAGTAATCAGGTGTTCTGATCTGTGAAACAAACTGGGCAAAATGTTGTCCAAGCCATTGCAGGCCCAGCGTGAGAGGACCTTTCCGAGGACACCTGCGTTGGGCAGAAAGGACCACATCCTCCTGCTCCCCTCTGCTTAGGCTGGAGGCTGCCGGGGAAGCGTGTGGCCCCAGAGGCAGGCTGTGGTGTATCCCAAAGGGATTGCTGCTGGGCGAGGGGAGCCAGCTGCCCTCCTTACAGCTCAGTAGTGAGGTCTTTGTGGGGAGGATGGGAACAGGGCACCTCTGTGGCAGACATGCTTTGGGTCCAGGGCATTCCACATCCTCATCTTGAGCCCCTCTTTCTCCTTGTTCCTAAAAGATTCTAGCTTCCCCCTTCTCCTTTGCCTTAAGGTGTTTCTGTATATGTTGCTCCCTCCCACTAGAGTGTCTTAAATACATTTTCATTTTCTTACCAAAGCCATGATGGTGGGGTCCTGACCTCCTCATGGAGGACTTTTAAAAAATATTCATTGATTTATTTGGCTGCCCCGGGTCTTAGTTGTGGCATGTGGAATCTTCCATTGTGACTTGCGGGGTTTTTGTTGTGGCATGTGAGCTCTCAGCTGAGGCATGTGGGACCTAGTTCCCTGATCAGGGATGGAACCTGGATCCCTTGTTCTGGGAGCGCAGAGTCTTAGCCACTGGACCGCCAGGGAAGTCCTTCAAAGACGTTCCCCCACCATCGCTCTGGGTTATGCTTGGCTGCTCTTCGTTTCTATGCTTCCCTCTTTTCTCTGTTCAGATACTCTGAACACTTTTGATAATTGTGTTAATTATTTCTGTTCGCTAAGGCCTTTCTTCCCAGCTTGACTATATAGCCCATGAAGCTGAGATCAGGTCTGTTTTGTTCATGATAAGATGGCAGCACTTTGCACATGAGATGCTCGGGGAACTCACAGGAGAGCGGGAAATGATGCATTGAGGGGAGAGGCTTTTAGAGAAGCCTGGGACATAAGAAGGAAACAGGAGTGAGATGGCGAAGGGGAGAAGATGGTGGCCAAGTGTGGCAGGACAGACAAGGTGGCTGGCACTCCGGTGAGGCGACAGTGTTGTTTTGAAGAATTTTAAGACGGAGACTTTGTTGTTAGAAGCACGGTTAGGTCAACTGAACACATAACTCACAATGGAAACTATACAAAGTAGCTGTTGTTCAGACTGAAAAAGATGGTTGTGTTAAACCTGAAGACTCTCTGTGGGTTTCCCCCTGAGTTTATGTTTAACCTGGGAGTGACAACACAGTCTTTGATTTAATATAATAGGAGGAGAAAAGCAAGATTAGAAACATTAGAAGGGAAAATCATAAAAGATTCCCCTCCGCACACTCTCCTGCCCTCAAGTGAGATCACCATGAGGACTTTTACAGGTTTCTTCCTAAAATACACATGAACTATATCAGAAAATCCTTTTTTCTTCCCTGCTTAGTAAATCTTAGAAAATTATCAAACATTTCTGATTTTCCACTTACTAAATTATAAATTTGAATGTGTAATCCAAATGTCTATATTTGGTGAGATCTTATTAGCATACATGTTAAAATATCAGCTATAGTATAACTGAATTAAAGTAGTAGTTAATATGTTGAGGAGCCGTACTCTGTGACATATTAGAACTTTGTAGAATTCGGATTAGGATCTGTCCTTACCCTTAAGGAGTTTACTGTCTAGAACGTGAGGTTAACTATTAAAAAGATTTCCGTAAACTGCCTTGTTGATTATTTATTTACCTATTTGAAACCTGCTCCTCCCGAACTTTTATTCCTCTGCGAAAGGGTTCTGTGATACATGCGGCTTTTTAATGCTTTGCTTTTATGTTGCCACATTGTTTATCTGTGACTGAGTCATGAATAATACATTATCAGGATGCCATCTGATATGACTAAATCTTCAAAGAGCAAATATATTTTTTGATGCTATGATACACATTTGAGATCTAAATCCTGGAATACAAGGGAAAACATTAAAAGCTATTGCTCCAAGTTTCAAAAAATGTAAGACATACATTGTTTAGGGTGAAGCAGGAAGATATCTAGATGATAAGGCACTAAGAGTAATACTTCTCCCAAAATGTACGTTGGGATATTTCCTAGAATTACATGGCAATAGAATCAGTTACTTTAGTTTCTGTTATTTTAAAGAGACTTTGTATTGGACAAAATGTAGGCAGAAAAGTTGATGTTAATTTCAAACTGTATAGATTTCAACTCATACGAAGTTTTATTTGCTAAAACCTCAATGCCTTTTAACCCTTTATACTATGTTATTTTTATAAACAGGTTTTTTTTTAATTAAATGACATAGGATGCTGAATAAATCAAGTATTACATAGTGCAAGTGAAGTCGTTCAGTTGTGTCTGACTCTTTGCGACCCCATGGACTATAGCCTACCAGGCTCCTCTTTCCATGGAATTTTCCAGGCAAGAGTACTGGAGTGGGTTGCCATTTCCTTCCCCAGGGTATCTTCCCAACCCAGGGATCGAACCCAGGTCTTCTGCATTGCAAGAAGACGCTTTACCATTTGAGCAACCAGGGAAGACCTAAGTGTTACATAAATAAGAGCAAATGCCTAAATTTTATATACACAGAGACTAGTATTAGTGACTAACTTAAATATCCGGTAAAGACTATGGAGATAATTATTCACCAAAGAGGACAGAGTAGAAAGACCCTGAGCTTACCTCCTCTCTGGGGCACATCAAAATTACAACTCTTTACAGAGCAACTATCAGTGAAAAGCACTGAAACCCACCAGAAAAGATCTATAGAAAGAAAACGTTATAACAAGACAGCTAGGAGGGGCAGAGTCTAGTATAGTCAAGACTCATACCCCCAGGTGGGTAACCTGTAAACAGGAGATTAATTACAATTAGAGAGGTTTTCCCCAGGGAACAAGGGTTGTGAACCTGGCATCAGCCTCCCCATCATGGGGGTCCTGTGACTAGAAGAGGAGCCCCCAGGATTTGTGGCTTTGAAGGCCAGTGGGTTTACTTTTCAGAGACCATGTGGGCTGTGGGGAGATGGATACTCTAATTTTAAAGGGATCCAGGAGAGAACTAGTCGTTTGAAAGGTGCCTGAATCACACCTACCTGCTTATCTTGAAGAGTTTTAAA